ACATCACTCGAGTCGCATGAGCACTTCATTTGATTTCAGCTTAAAGCATCAGATGGAATCTTTGAGAACTAAGTTATCGTCGGCGAGTGGAATTTCAGAGGAAGAAAAAAATGCGGCTGACAGTCGTATGAAGAAGCTCGCTATGGAGGTGAAGCTTTAAATTGCTGTCTAGGAAGAATACTTTTAGCAGTACTTGTATTCTAGAATGCAGAGCTCTCCGAACAATTACACCATGCACTTGAGACTGTCGCTGAGCTTCGTGAAAAAGTTACTTCGCTGGAGTCCACAAAGGTGAGTAAAAAGAAAACTAGTTTTGTTCTCCTCAACGGACTCCAACCGCTGTCCAAGAATTAGGGCCGACGCCGCGGAGTGCCTCCAGATGTGAGCCACGAACGAACTCCCGTTACGGAAGACTGATAGACTTGAGAATGGGTACTGAAACGGCCTTGAGAAGAACATGGTCGTTCGGGAGTCAATCCGATCTGCTGCCAGTACGTCCTGTCTGTAGTGCGGTTACTGCACTAAGCCTCTTACTATTTGCGGTTGTGAATTCCTTCGACCTACTTGACACATTGCCGAGATCATGAGCCACCGGTGCATCACGTAACATTTCGCACTACATTTGGGTCATTGCCTTCAAATTCTACCGATCCTTTTACGTATTCAGTGACTTGTGAAAGGTGAACTTCCAACAGGGATGAGCGAAAAAAATGTTGCCATCTTCATGAAATATTTTGAATTAAAATTGGAACTTTTCAACCAGCTATTGCCACGCCAGAAACCTCCAGAATCAATCTTTTTGGATGAAACCTTGATTGTGGGGACCGCTCGGAGCTCCGATCACGAATGTCACATCGTATTTGTCGTCGGCGCCATATGGCACCAGTTGGCGCCATTTTGTACTAGGCAGTCTTTTTGGCACTGAATTCGATATGAGCTTCCATACCGGGATTATTTAACATCCTCATTACAAGAATGTCCTTTCCTTTAGTGCTGACGCCATGTGGCGCCAGTGGGCGCCAACTTGATGTCCACAACTTTTCAGCGGAAATCTGTGTGAACCTGCGCACTGCGCATATTTGACATCCTTATAAGAAATATAGCGTTCATTTTCGGCGCCAGCTTACCTACCATTAGAGCACTGTGATTGTCCGCGTTCTGTTAAGACTGAGCGCTATCAAAAAATGACATACTCCTTGGCCTGAACAGAGCTCTAAGTAGCGCCCGTTTCGAAAAAGTGTGTTGGCATGGGCGTTCATGAATTTGACTAAAGGTGAAAGAACAAAAAAAGCAAAAAAAAACAACACAGAAGCAGGAGTTACAGTTTGACGTTTCAAAAATTGAGATCGCGCTGGAAAGTGGGTGTGTCTGATTCGAACCTGATGTGATCGAGGAGGTGGGGCTGGAGACGGTGGTGTCCGAAGCTGGTGGTCCAGGATGGGTAGCGATTTAGACCACTCCTTCCTTCCGCTCAGAACTGCTTGATCATTATGCGAAATATAAGAGAGCGGCAAAAAGTGGTCCAAGAGGGACAATATGAGCCACCGGTGGCTCACAGCGGACGCATGCGAAAGAGCGCGATTGCCCAGAGCAGCGCTCTCCCTCCAAACGTGATTGTCGTCAACGTGCTAACAGTTGGTTTGTGGTACGCCGTTTCGTATAATCTTTGCACCTTCACGATTCATTTATTTGAAACCAGCGGAGAGGACATGGCCGAAAACATCGCCGATGACATACCAATAGTGTCCAAACGGCTCGGTACTGGTGCGATACTGGTATGTGAGTTAAGGTTATAAGCCTGAGTGACCGGAGGAGTGTACATACAGTTATCTTTCCGCTCTTGATTCTTTAGGGGGAGCTGCGTGTCAGTGAGCTACGGGCTATGGCTGGGCCAACATGGTTATACTCACCATGTTGAGCGCGGGGGTCACGATTCACTTATTGAAACCGGCGGAGAGCACATGTCGAGAACATCGCCGTGACATACAATAGTGTATGCGGCTGGAGTGGTCTGGCTCTGTTCGTGATGACTGGAGTAATATACTACAGTCTAGTTCGCTGCAAATTCTAGGGCGTCTCGGGGGCCGCGTCTGGCGCTGTGCCAGCTCGCTTCATCACCAATTGCTGACGCTTGCTCCCTTCAACGATAAGTGGGGAACAGGTGCGCCAAACCCCCCTGCCTCTCCCCTTGACACGGCCCAGCATCCGTAGCGAACAAAACTGTAAGTGCTTTCTATAGGTACCCACCCGACGTTTTGCTACTTGCAGTCGTGATCTCCGGGCACACCATGAGTTGGGTGTTTTGGTCGAGTCCCTATGGCTCCCCTTACTAGAGGGTGGCTTGATACAACCCCCCTTCCCCATCCTACCTACCACTATCTTAGATTTTCCCAACTTCATACCATTTTTTCCAAATTTTGCGAAATTTCCCAACGCTACAACTCTCTCTCGGAGGGCAAATACCCCACGCCCGTCTCTCAATAGCGAGCAAATACGACCTCCCGTCGAGAAAACAAGAAAAACCCATTTATCAAAGTTTGCTTAAACCACGTACGACGCTGTATGTGAGAGTGGTGTTAAGGACCGTGGCAGTCAGCATCTCGCACCCCCCCCCCAACCCTCCCCCATTGACATTCTGGAGCGTTTTACTTCTGAAACAGTTTCACAGTTCTTCCATACGCTATAGTAATAACACTTTGATACAGGAGGAGTTCCAAGATTACCATGACAAGAGTGTGGGACAATTAGAAGCACAGCTTAGAGAAACTCACGAGTTTGAGAAAAGGAATCTCCAGAGTCTGTATCGTCAGGTGAGGGTCGTTTTCACTCTTCTTTTTGATTTTTCCTCTGAAATTATGTTAATATTATGTATTTTTTTCACCTAAACTGTGGACAGATCAAAGAGGACTTCAAACAAGCCGTTGAGAAGATAAATAGTCTAAATAAAGAAAAGGCAGCTACTGATTCAGAACTGGAACGACTACGCGAACAACTAGCAGATAAACAAAATCAGGTAATATGTTATTAGGTTGTCCGGAAAGTTCAGCAAGGAAGTTCTGAAAATGTTTGAAAAGGTGATAGTCGGTTGGCGAAAGGTCTGAAGAATATGGCGGTTGAGGTAGAACTTCAACCCCCAATTCGTTCAATTTATGGATAGTGATTTGTGAAACGTGCGGGCGTTGTCATGCAAAAGAATCGGACCCTTTCTTTTGATAAGTGTTGGCTGCATCTGACAAAATTTTCGGTACAATTCGTCGATTTCTTCACAGTAGGGTTCTGCTGTGATGGTTTGGCCTGGTGATAAAAAGTTATAGTGGATCACACCAGCCGATGACCACCAAGCCGTGACCAGAATCTTTTTTCGTGAGGGTTCGGCTTTGAAAATTACCTCGGTGGTTCGTCGAAATCCAACCACTGTCCGGAACGTCTCCTGTTATCATACATGACCCATTTTTCATCACAGGTGACAATTCGGCCCAAAACAGGTCGTTTCTGCTGCGCAAAAGCAATGCAGAAGGAACCTCGAGACGTGCCGATTCCTGCCGGTCACTCCGATTGTGGGGCACCCAATTGTCGAGTTTTTTCACCTTCCCAATGCGTTCCAGACCATCTGCAACAGTGGATTTGCCAAGGCCTAGCTCTTCTGCTCTCTCGAACTGTTTGGGATGGGTCAGCCTCCAAAATCCCCCTAAAATCCTCGTCAGATATTGCTTTAGGTCGACCGCTATGAGGTTCATCTTCAAGGCTGAAATCTCCAGAACGAAATTTGTTGAGCCATTGCCGCACAGTGCTTTCTCTAGCACTATTGGGCCCCCACACCTGGTTAATTTGTTGAGCTGTTTCGATTGCGGATTGCCCCAATTTATAGTCGAAGAAAAAATCGTCCGAAAGTGCTCTTTTCACATGCTTGAAAATCTTGAAAAAAGAGGGTTTATCAAGCAATGGTGAAACGGCAATTATACCATCAGATAGCGCAAGAAATTCTCTACAGGATGTGCTACTGAGAAGCAAGGCAGAATGAGTTTTTAATCAGCAGTGAATGTACAAAAAATAGGTGCACAAAACGCTGAGAACTTTCCGGACAACCTAATACATGATATAGTTATGTTGACCACACATACATCAGAGACAGCTTGCCACTATTACAGTGGAGAATTTGATTTGGGGGAGGAGGGAAAAACTCACCCGTGCGTGTATAGCGGCGCGGTTCCGTCAGGCACGCGCGAATCGCGGCGATGCGCCGCGCCACGTGCTGACTCCAACAGCAGCCGCTTTCATGTAGAAGAGAAACGGTGGAAAATAGGGGAGGTAGATCAATTGGATGTAATAGAAGTTATAGTAATGGCTAGATATACAGAAAATCGGCTCGCAGGATCTACTTCAGCAAATGGCTGATACTGGCGAAAACTTCTTTGATTGTAAAAGTTGACGGCGAACAGCTTCTTACGCAAAGTAAGGTGAAAGTTGCAAATTGTACAGCCCTGCTTATGACCTCATGCGGTTATAACGCTGCGTAGGCAGCTCCATGCGTCGTTTCATAATCAAAGGGAATAGTTTAGCCATTCACTGGAGTAATACGCTCTCATACTCCAACTTTTCTGTATTCTTTCACCACTACCGCCAAACCACCTAAAAGCATCCGCTTTTTATTCAATCCTCCTTTCTCGCTCTTTCCTGTCACATGCGGAGCACAGTGGCGGAGACGCAGGCCGTCGCCATTCGCTCACCCCTGCCGCGGTGACGTCGAGGTACCGCGCCGCATACGCGCACGGGTGAGTTTGTACACGGAGCCTTATTTGGAAATGCAGTAGGCCATGCCGCGGGCGGTTGCTTCCAACGTCATTGGTGGAAAGACTGCGAGAGGGCATTGGCCACACTCCATTGATCCCTTCCACCCTGACGTTGGTAGCAATAGCCCGCCCCAGCCATCGAGCTAACTGCCTTTAACAAACCTTTGCTTATCGATCAGTCAAATGCCCTTGCCACAGGGTTTCCTGATGGTAGTGTCCCGTTACGGTAACATCGATGAAGTTGAGGAACGAAATTTTGGATCAGTTGTTACTGCAGTAATGAATGTGCTAGCAGCTCAGAATACGCTCATAGTCAGATCCTCAATACAAGAAAAAGTTGTTCCGCTCATGAGCCTGTCTGGAGATGCATTATGTCAAGCCGGTTGGGAGATCCGCGTTGCGACGACACCCAGAAACACGGGATATTTGATCTAGTTGATCAGGCCTATTGAGCTGACACTTCCTAGCTTTTCTGTACTTCCTGATGTAGATGAATTCTGTGTGCGGCTGTCGCGTAGGCGACATCAATTGCAGAGCCGTCGTAACGCTGCCTGCGTTCGCGGCAGTGGCAAGAAAGGGATCGATATCGCCACGCTGCCGCATCTCGGACCTGACCCATTAGGCCTGTAATCGCGACGCAGATTGCTGCGCAGCTTCCGAAGTAGAGTGTTCTCAGAGACGAAGCAAACAGTTACGTAAATAACGACTGACTCCAGGTGCCTAAACACACGAAGAACTCTGTTGTTGCGGCCGTACACGGTTCTGCAAAGCTGCACGTACCATCAGGAACCATTAGGCTGGCTTGCGCGCACTTACAGTCATGATCCCTGCAAACGGTGGAGCGTGTAAGGCTGTTCATACTTTGCGGCAGCGTACGCTAGCGTTTCCAGCGTTCGCCGGCAAGGAAAGGATAGATATCGATCTAGCGTCACCAGCGTACGCTAGCGTAGCGAGGGCAAGGAAAGCATAGGTATCGATCTAGCGTTTTCAGCGTTTCACCAGCGTTTCACTAGCGTTTCGCTAGCGTTTGCAGCGGCAGGGAGTAGAGACTATGGGAGAGTAGGAGAGTAAGAAAGAGTGGAGAGTTTCTAGGGAAAACGATGGACAGTCTCTTGGGGAAATAAATTCCAGAAGCGCGTGCATATCAATGACATTTCACAGCGACAAAGTGGTAAAAATTTGACTTCCAACAGCCAAAACACACCATTGCGCAATCTAACCCATTTTAGAGTACGGTATTGCCTACTAATGCGGTGCGGCTACACACGCCGCAATTTCACAGCACGCATAATCGAACTGTTTTCTACTCTCCTACTCTCCCATAGTCTCTACTCCCCGCCGCTGCAAACGCTAGCGAAACACTAGTGGAACCCTGGTGAAACGCTGAAAACGCTAGATCGATATCTATCCTTTCCTTGTCACTGCCGCTGGCGAACGCTGGAAACGCTAGCGTACGCTGGCGTACGCTGCCGCAAAGTGTAAACGCAGCTAAGGGGGCATGAGTGGGATCGCAGCTAGAACAGCCGTCCCGCTAATTGATGTGGACCCATGAAGGGAATCATTGATGGTAAGGCCACTTTCGTAGCGTCCAACCCGTGTTTCCGTCACACGCCCTATCGTTTGCAGGAATCATGAGTATTTTCAGTCTTCTTCGCTGCGGATAGTGGGGCGCGTCAGTGAAGTATCGTACCGGCAGCTCGTCTTCCATCACTTTTTGAGTGGGTAAGCGACAGAATCGGTGGGGAACGACTGGTACGGACGGTATGATACAGGCTTGTCGTTTGCTCACTTCAACAATTGGTGAATAACGGGTCTGGCGCCGCGCCTAGCCCATCCCCCACTGACGCGCCCCATGATCCGCAACGGACAAGACTGTGGCTTCTGTAGCTGTGCCTCTGCAACCCAAATCCCCTAGTCTGCACGTTTAAAAAGCCCATTTCTCTCTTGATTTCCCTAATAGGATATGAACCTCAGAGAGCGTTGTCTGCAGATGTCGATCGCTAGGTGAAGCTGGTCGTCTGCTGCACTCGCCTTAGGAAGGAAGTGAACTGCCTGAAGTTTTTCCAGCAAACAACTGCCTAAAATTTTTCCAGCAAAGCTGTCAAATTCGTGAATATTGTGATATTTTTTGTTTATCAACGTCATTCCAGCTGGTATCGTTGCGCATCGAAGAGGGAAATATTTCGGCTCTCTATCGTGATGCAACAAAAAGGATGTACGTTTCGACCGTTACAGATTGTTTTTCTCCATCAGGGATCAAGATTTTACAGATAAGAAAGTGACATTTTAGCGAAATCTTGGAGAGACAGTCGCAAGAGCGTATGCCTGTGATGCCCGAGGTCAAGGTGCAAGAGCGTATGGCTGTGATGCCTGAGATCAAGGTGCAGAAGGCCGTGGCGATAAATGGCAGAACATCCAGCGAAGTGAGCGACATTGAGCTCGTCTGAACTTCGAAATTTGCTACCCAGATGAGTACTAAGAGGCGCATTGTCTGGTATTAGCACAAGCAAAAACTGACTGACGGCTGTGGTTGATAATATCCGAGCTGTAGAATAGCACACAAACTAGCTGGACGGTTCGACGCGCTATAGCATCGCACATTGAGTTGAGTCCTTTCGCGGATGATTTCGCTCATGACGCTTCTTTTTCCGCCACTGCTCGGGGTGAGTAAGGCTGCGTTCATACTTTGCGGCAGCGAGTACCAGCGTCCACAAGCGACTAGCAGCGTTTCGAGCGTCTGTCTGCGTCAGCGAATAGGAAAGTATAGATAGAGTATGGGGGGGGGGGTGGGGATAGGAGGATAGCAGACTGCTGCTAAAGAGTATGGGGCAATAGGAGGGTACCAGCCGTCTGCTACTTGCCCCATACTCTCCACTCCTCAGCAGTGCTGGTGGCGGGTGAGCACTGCTTGACGCTGCTGGTCGCTGGTGGACGCTAGTAGACACTGGTAAGCGCTAATCGAGACCTCTGCTTTCTTATTCGCTGACGTTGACGGACACTCTTAATGCTGCTGCTCGCTGGTGGACGCTGTTGTTCGATGACGCAAGGCATGAACGTAGCCTAGACAATCCTTGTTTGCCGCGTTATTGAAAGCGGCGTAAAATGTGGCGATGCGCGGCAACTACATGCTGTCGATGGGAGCAACGAACTCCTGGAATTTGAGCGGTAGAATGCGTTCACACTTTGCAGCACCGTCCACCAACGACTACTAGCGTCCCCGGGCGTCCGGCAGCGTGAGCGACTGTGAAAGCATAGACATCAATATAGCGTCTACCGGCGTCCACGAGCAACCGTCAGCGTCCACCAGCGACCAGCAGCATCTCGAGGGCTAGGGAAGTATAGGTATCGATCTAGCGACCAGCAGCGTCTACCAGCGTCCACCAGCGGCCAGGAGCGTCCAGGAGTGGAGAGTATGGAGCGACAGGAGAATGGTGCCGAGACAGCTGGTACTCCCCTGTCGCCCCTCTCTACCACTAGTCTGCTACGCTCGTATCTCCCATACTTTACCAGCTGTCTGCTACCCTCCTATCGCCCCATGCTGGACCTTGCTGATCAATGGTGGTCGCTGTGAACGCAGCCGCTGACTATGAACGCAGCCATGCCGAAAATAGTGGACGTTCACGGAAATCTACCGTAACAACAAGATAGCTCTCTAGTATTTTGCTTATTGATGCCGGTTTTGCGACTCATGTCGAAAGCCTGTGCCGTCTCTTGCCTTGGATCTGGGAAAGCATGCCTAGACCCATGGCAGGGAGCATACATACCCTCTCGAAACGCACTGTCACTGGTATATACATACAATCATTATCCCTGCAGACGAGAAGTATTGACTAGGGAACCTAGGGCAGCCTTTCTCCACCAACTGATGCTCTGCTGAGATAATGGCTGTAAGCGTGCATGCTTCGTCGCTGCGGCTGAATCTAACGATACGCATCCGAGTGTCTGTGTAATTACAGTCTAGAAAGTACGGAGGATACCACTCTGTTCATTTCAGGAAATCGACGACGTGACGAACGCATCAACGCCATCAACGACGCGGCGGTAAGCGAAGTCTCTGCTGTAGTTAGCTTTATTGAGGAGGGAGACCGAACGTGTATGCTGAAATCTACTATTACTTTAGCAATATCCTTCAGTATCTCACGCTATCCACAATTTACTTTCGAAGTTCCTTCTCGCCAGAATTTTTATTAGGTTGTCCGGAAAGTTCTCAGCGTTTTGGGTGTTTCACTTTAAACGATCGTAACTTTTTTAATACTCATCGGATTTAATCGAAATAGGCACCATTCGAATCAGCACACTTTTGCCAATGTGACAGCAGTCGAGAAATCCCATCAAAGTAAAAAACTGGGTGGTCGAAAATTCACGAAATCCACTAAGGCTTTTTTGCCTGGTCCTGATTGATGAAGTATTTTCCAGCAAGGGAGTTCTGAAAATGTTAGAAAAGGTGATAGTCGGTTGGCGAAAGGTCTGAAGAATATGGCGGTTGAGGTAGAACTTCAACCCCCAATTCGTTCAATTTATGGATAGTGATTTGTGAAACGTGTGGGCGGGCGTTGTCATGCAAAGGAATCGGACCCTTCTTTGATAAGTGTTGGCTGCATCTGACAAAATTTTTCGGTACAATTCGTCGATTTCTTCACAGTAGGGTTCTGCTGTGATGGTTTGGCCTGGTGATAAAAAGTTATAGTGGATCACACCAGCCGATGACCACCAAGCCGTGACCAGAATCTTTTTTTCGTGAGGGTTCGGCTTTGAAAATTACCTCGGTGGTTCGTCGAAATCCAACCACTGTCCGGAACGTCTCCTGTTATCATACATGACCCATTTTTCATCACAGGTGACAATTCGGCCCAAAAACAGGTCGTTTCTGCTGCGCAAAAGCAATGCAGAAGGAACCTCGAGACGTGCCGATTCCTGCCGGTCACTCCGATTGTGGGGCACCCAATTGTCGAGTTTTTTCACCTTCCCAATGCGTTCCAGACCATCTGCAACAGTGGATTTGCCAAGGCCTAGCTCTTCTGCTATCTCTCGAACTGTTTGGGATGGGTCAGCCTCAAAATCCCCTAAAATCCTCGTCAGATATTGCTTTAGGTCGACCGCTATGAGGTTCACCTTCAAGGCTGAAATTTCCAGAACGAATTTGTTGAGCCATTGCCGCACAGTGCTTTCTCTAGCACTATTGGGCCCCACACCTGGTTAATTTGTTGAGCTGTTTCGATTGCGGATTGCCCCAATTTATAGTCGAAGAAAAAAATCGTCCGAAGTGCTCTTTTCACATGCTTGAAAAAATCTTGAAAAAAGGGGTTTATCAAGCAATGGTGAAACGGCAATTATACCATCAGATAGCGCAAGAAATTCTCTACAGGATGTGCTACTGAGAAGCAAGGCAGAATGAGTTTTTAATCAGCAGTGAATGTACAAAAAATAGGTGCACAAAACGCTGAGAACTTTCCGGACAACCTAATATCTTGATAGCCCCTGAACTTCATATTTCCATTTTCAGTAATTCTGACGCGGAGGACAGGTTCGGCGATGACAACACCTATGACGACGACGACGAGGTCAGGGTAGAGGTGAGTCGTAAAGTTATGCTAATCATCCGTTTGTTGTTTGTAGACAGAACCAATCATATTCACTACTTACCTCTTACTGCTTACGCATAACTCCAACTAGAATCAAAAGAATGTAGGTGGGTTAAGACATCTGCGTTCTTGGCGCATCATGAGGGCGAATTAGCTTTCGAGCGCATTAGGTGTTTATCGACAGGACGAGTTGATAAAAAGTGGGACAAGTGAATCTCTTGAGATGCCTGGTCGGGGCTTATCGTGTAGGCGGAGTGAGGCCTGCCCTTGGTCACGCTTCACTGATGCATCCTTTGTATTGGCACGGTAGGCTGTATCCTCACATTTGGGATATTCTGGCTTATGCATGTACGACGAATGGAAACGCATCCACCTCTCCCTATGCTTCAGCCGCATTTCCACACATTTTCGAAAGGCGGTAATATTACTTCTGCAGCTGCGGACCCGCTCAATCTTCCCACAAAAAAACTTCCCACATGAAGCAGCGGGTGTGGGTTTGCGTATAAGATGTTCAACTTTAAATGAAGAAGAATGACCTGTAAGGGAGCGATTGCGAATACCTCTTGATATGAATAATACCTTAAAAAGGTTTTAGTTCTGACTCCGCCCATAGGACCAGCTTGGCCCTGCTTCAGAGCCTTTTTGTGACAGCCGGGCGTGTTTTTTCCAGTGGACTATCTCTTATAGTTAGCACAAAGTTTTTCAAAATTCACAAAAAAGCTCCCTTTTCCCAGCCTGGAAGAACTTTTAATTTTTTTAGTTTTTTTATTCATTATTGCACATTACATGCGCGCTATTTCACGAATCGGTAGACGGTAGTAGGCAGCCTTCTGGTACCCTGTTCACTGCGGACAGTGGGACGTTAAGGCTTGGGTTTGCGGCAGCGCCAGCCTCTTCCAGTGTATTTCGACGGCCAGCTTCCACGATAGTGGAGAAGAGGAGACGAGCCGCGCCAAAACAGCTCCCTGAAACGCCCAGCGTCCGCAGGTCAACAAGTTGTGATGCACGGCGCATACCACAGAAGCCAAGCTAAGGATTCCGAGATCATTCAGAGCAGGTCTAAATTCGATACACTCAGGAAAAACTTGGCAAATGCAATGTATAGATACTATGTTGTTACAACTTCGCAATTTCCTGTTAGGTTCTACTGAAACCTTCGGCGCTGTTCGGTTTAGGAGGGGCATTTTGCACTTTCGCTAGCTCCATCTGGTGGTTCCTGTTGAATTACAAGTATCGCACTGCTAAGACCTGTGAACTCTTGTCAAGCTCGCGTGAAGCTCATGTAAATGCGTAGCTGTACAGTTATACAGGCCTCCACATGTGGCATCGACAGTTATAGATGGTAACTAACAAAACGCCCCCACCAAGCCGAACTGTGTCAAGTTTTTTTTTCCTGAAAAGTCGTTTTCGTGAAAGCACGTTAGAGATCTGAAGAAAGTGCTTCAGTTATGGGTTCCAGAAAGTCCTTTAAATCTGATCGCTTCAACAAACACAACAGTTCGCAGCCTATTGTCTATGTTACAGGAGCCCAACGCTGTCCGTCATTTCAGCACCTGAGCCTGCTTGGCGAATAACCCCAAGCTAACGAGAGGAGTTCGCTGTGATTACTGTTCAGGTACTGTTTTCCGATGCGGATCTTTGTGGAATATATAACGCTCACTTTTCAGATTATGGTCACGAATACATTCTCCTGTCCGTTATATTTAGAGAGAAAACGGGCTCAAAATCAAGATGGACATAAGTGAACTTATAACTTCACGACCTGTTCTTCGCTTCGCTATCAGTGCCATTCCCTCGCATTCGCGAGAACCTCACCGTGCAGGGACACTTTCGAGAACCATTGCACTTTCACATTTCATTTGTATAAGTCCTCAAAGGATACAAGGATAAAGTCTTCGCCGTTGATTAGTCCTTTTTTGGATGCGGATGCATTCTACTTCCATTCAGAATCTTACAAGGGATGATGTAGGTCGAAGTGGCCATTTGAAATGAAATGTATACCGGCTGGAAAGGTCTTCGGACGGGAATTACGAAACCGTCTTCCATATCTGCTGCGGACCTCCCACAAAGGAGTTACAGAGGTTTTTATGGGAGAATATTCGGCATTCGCAAATTAAGGCACATGCATCCGTGGTAGCATGGCCGAGTGGATACGTCGTGGAGCCTCCCGAAGGGGTTGTGGAGGGTTTGGGTCCTTGATTCGTCCGCTTTTTTGCATTTTTTCGGAAGTGGCCCCGGGCACTTTGAAGTTATTTTGCATAACGCTTATGCCTGATAATGGCGTGACGTAATGTTTCTGAATGATGAAGCCATTGCGAACGATATCATGGAGATCACTTCTGGCTGTCGAGATTCGTCCAATTAAGCCGAAAACTTGCCAGCAGACACGAAAGCAGCTCCTGAGATATGAAAAATTTCACACTATGTGAAGTGATGAAATGAAAAATATTTTGCCCGTCGCGAATCTCAACAGCATGATTACCATCATCAGGCCACTTCATATGAGAATTTTTCACAATACTCTCTTCGCGCAAACAAGTTCGTGCGGCTCCGAGCTCCGGGGAATAGATTTTTCAGTGACAAAATCATCGCGCTGGAATGCACTTTTGTTGTCAAAATCAAAGATATGAAGAAGTGCAAACAGCCAGAAAATGTTCTTCCATGGAATCGTTCGCATGGCTCGATCAGTTTAAAACATTACGTCACGACATTATCAGGCACAAGAGTTGTGCAAAATAGCTTTGAAGTGCACAGGGGACCACTTTCGAAAAAATGCAAAAGAGCACACGCATCAAGGGACCTACATACTTCGTCGACCGCCTCTTCGGTAGCCTTACGACCTAAGCGTTACACTCGGCATGCTGTCAGCATGTACCTTACGCCGCCTATTCGAACCGAATGCGGATATTCTCCCCATAAGAACTTTCCGTTAATTCTTTCTGGGAGGTCCGCAACAGAAGACGGTTTCGTTATCCCCGTCCGAAGACCTTCCTGTCGGTATACATTTCATTTCAAATGACCACTTCGACCTACCATCCTTCCCTTGTCAGTGGCTTATTGAATGCAATGTTCTCTGACATAACCGTCAGCCCCGTTCTGTGCATTTTCGAGTGGAGAACATGGCACCTAGAACAGCTACAGACCTTATAACTTTGCACATGGCAAGGAACCATCATCCAATAAAGTGCGATTGTACGCCTGATCTTCAATGTAGTTGGTCTACATGAAGGAATGTTAATAATGGAGAACGCCTGTTTAGACAAAAAAATACGCTCCATATCCCGCATATGGGAAGGACGTGACTGCATACTTCAGTAGAACAGAGAGGCTTGCCTTCTATCGTGAACACCTTAGTGTCCCTATTTGAGCTCTACTGCTTAGGATATATGAACAGATATAGGGAAGCATGGTGACTTTAAGCAGTCTTGTTCGCGTGCGTATGATAGGGGTGTGTACGCGATGACGATTATTGGCACAGCGCCCCTTTACCACCAGTTTGTTTGAAGACTATCGTTCGTATCACCGTCGTCACCCGCCCCAACAACTGGTGGAGAACGGGTGTGGAGCCGCGGTAAACCCATCCCATCTGACATGCTCGTTTTCATCCGCAGCTAACGAGACTGCATCATTCACATCGAACTTGTGGGAACCGTACATCATACAGGCGGTTGGAATACCATAACGCTCCCTCCCCTACTTTGCGGAATTGATTTTGAGTAGAAATGCGATGAGCTAAACTGGCACGAAAATGCAGGGCTCGCAATAAGTGGAGTATATAGTGGGTATCTGGAAAAAAAAATCCAGTTTTTGAGAAATGACTCCCTTCCTCTGCGTTGTTGGATCCCACGATGACCTGCCCTCTTCCTGGGCTGTTTACTCGGTTTCATGCTTGTCTTGGCAAAGTACAAAGGCTGGCTCTCAAACTTCGCGACAACAAGAGAAAATGGCTCGAACTTCTCAGATAGAGCCCCTCGAATGCTGTTTACGGAATATGCAGATTACAAGTGGCTACTGGGACGCTCCCAGATCGATATCTGGTGGTCATAGAAATTGCAAAAAAAGTCATTTGGCTCGTGAAGGCGCTACTGTCGATGTCTTCGCAACAAGTGCCACGTGGCCGTCCGTGGTCTCGCTTCAAGTCAACGCATGAGGGTTTGCATCCGGTTGGCGCGAAAATTTTTGCTTCGCTCCGTATAAGAGCTTCAACTCTAATTTTCGAAATTCTTCCGAATTTACGGCCCAGCAGGGCAAGTAGATCAAGTACATCAAGTATACGACATACTCGATCTAGTATGGATTTGGTCATATCTGCCCTCTCTGAACAGGTTACCCATCCGACAATTCAAAGTTTTGGCGAGAAACTCGTTCATGGGAGATTTCGACCCCCTGAACACGAATATCACATCCTTCGACGAAAAAACGCTCGTCTGGCCAAATTGCAATCCTGAGCAAAACTGAATAGGGCAGATAGTGATAAATCCATACTAGATCGAGTACGTCGTATACTTGATGTACTTGATCTACTTGCCCTGCTGGGCCGTAAATTCGGAAGAATTTCGAAAATTAGAGTTGAAGCTCTTATACGGAGCGAAGCAAAAATTTTCGCGCCAACCGGATGCAAACCCATGCGTTTGACTTGAAAGCGAGACCATTACCACGAGGACCACGAAGGCAC